CAAGCCACCCAGGGTAAGGGAAACCCCATTCCCAGGGACCCCCTCCATCCTGGGCACAAGCCACCCAGGCTGGGGGAGACCCCTGCCCCCAGCCTTGCCTTGTGGGACAGCAGCATCAGGGCTCCCTGGAGGCGCCATGTGGTGACCCTTGCCCCCTTCCTCCCTTCAGCGTAGGAGGAAGAGCCCTAGGGCCCAGCTGTGAGCATCCCCGGGTGCTCTGCGGGGTGGCAGATTTGGGCATCTCCTGCGGCAAACACGGAGAAAGAAGCCACTGTGGGCATAGCCATGTTGCTGGGGCAAGGCAAGGGGGTGCTGAGGCGCCCCCAGACCCACACTGTCTGGTGCCCAGCGCGAGGCACCGAAATCGCTAGCGATGCCTTGGACGGGGTGCATTGCTCTCGTGGGGTGACCTGCAGAGACGGGCGGCAGGAAGCTGGAGATCCGCGCCAACGCTGGGTGTCCATGCCACCTCTCAGGCCATCCCGCGCTGGCGAGGAGAGGACGTGCCTGCGGCAAGAGGGGGTGGAAAGGAACAACGCGTGCCTCGGGCTGTCTCGCCGCCACCTGGGCTGCCTCCGCACGCCTCCCCACAAAATATCTCTGCTCCCAGCAGGGCTAAAGGCCTCGCGTGTTGCTGGCTTGACTTTTGAAGAAAATGCCAAGCCTTGATTTGTACCCATCTCTTCGCAGAGCCCCAAGCACTTGTCTGGGCTGGTCTGCACAGGGCTGATCCTGCCTCAGGCAGGGCTTGGACTAGATGGGACCTCACCCCACTTCTCCAGGATTAGACACCGCCATGTCCCTCCCCGTTCACTGACCCAGCCTTTGCTGGAGTCGCCCCCCCATTTACACTGCTGTCTAGCAGAAGGATTCAGACCCACCCTCGTCTCCTGGGCCACTGGACTGCAGCAGCATGGAGGAAGCAGCAAGGGCAGCCCTGGGGCAAAGGGGGCAACTGCATCAGTCAAGAGGCGCCTAGGACCCCGTCCTGCTCCTATTCAAGCGAACGAGAGCTTTGCTTCGACAACAAGGTGCTGCATTCGTGAGCTCTGAGAAGAATCTGATCCTGCAGAGCTTCACGGGGTGAGGAGGACTGTAAAATGATGGGAAAACAGGAGGCTACGCAAGGCACATGCAGAAGCCTCCATGGAGTAGAGAGATGCGTTCAAACAATGTCCAAGGCCAGAGGCGAGACAGGCCAGCAGCCTGCTTTGTCCGGGTGCGGGGGTCTGACATGCAGAGTGACCCGGGCACGGCACGGGGTGAAGAACGGAGCTACACTCTTGACTGGTGAGCTCCTGGCAGCCCCGCGGGGGAGAGGCAACGTGGCTGAGAGATTAGAGCATGAGACAAAGCCAGGATACACGATTCTGTTTAGTCCTCGCTCTACCACAGCCTCTACCTGTGGCCACTTATCCGCCAGAGGTATTTACCCTGCAGCTGGGAAAAATATTGTCAGCGAGTAATAAAACTGCCTGAAAAAATGCCGTTTCAGTTGCCATACAGCTATTTGCAAAATGTGCTGAAATGTCCTGAATAATTTCAGGTTGGGGGAAAAATATAAATTGAGGATTCTGTTCACAAAGCTCCAGCTGGAAAAGTTGGTGGCTTCTCCCTTGCCCTCAACAGCTCGGTGCTTACGTTCGCTCAGGGGTGGAAGGCGTGGATTCATCTCCTCCCTGTGCCAAGGGAATTTGAACGCTCACCTCCCACGCCCCGAGGAAGTGCCCTGGCCGCCGGGCTCCAGGGCTGAGACGCTCTCAAGGTTTCCATTCATTTAGTACAATTCAGATCGCGTCCTGTTAGAATCACAGGATTGGAAAGGACCTCAGAGGTCATCTGGTCCAAGCCCCTTCTTGAAATGTGGGAAGAAGAAGCCATCCCTGACCAATCTTCTCCAGCCTTCCCTTGAAAACCTCCAGCAAAGACTATTCCAGCGTGGCTTCTTTACAGCTGTTTTTGCTAGTAGTGGTATTTTGCACGCCATGAAGTGGGTGCTGTGCAGGTTGGTGAACTGGTTGTGGAACAGACGGTGTCACATCTAGTTCGTCAGTCAGAATCCAGCCCAGGTTGCTACTGCCTATACGTTCACCCCACCCCGCACCTCTTTGGTAGCTCCTGTTTAACACGAGTTGGGGATCTCAATCCTGCGCCTCCTGGACATGTATCCACGTCTAGCAAGCCACACTGATAATACCACAGCTTTCCTGAAGCCCGGGTGGGGAGCTCACAGGTGAGAGCCACCGATGGAGACAGAATCTCAGCTCAAAGTGGAGGCACTTTTGCAGCTCCCAGCTCGCGCTGGATCTTCCTCGGGGACGGCAGAGGAGCTCAATCTCCAGAGATGCTCAAAAGTTCACTTACAAGCACAAAAGCAGCAGCCTGCAGGGTTTGTTCCAATTGTCTTGCATCGCTCAGCTGGCATTTCTGCTCATTGCCACGGTAAATGGGAACCTGCCATAGAAGGGGGAAGCCAGCTTGACGCAGGACTTCCCGAGGCAGCCTGCCCCACCAGAGGTCAAGCTCTCAGGCAGAACACCCTCCCTATACTCCTGGGCCAGACCTTTCTGGGCAAGCATCCAATACTTTCAGCCAGTTGCAGCACGCAGATCTCCACAATTATAACTCACAGCACCTTATATTCTGCAGAGACACCAACACAATGACTTCTCCTAAGCGGGCGCCTCAAGAGAGGAACTCATCGTGGAGAGGGGCAGTGCCTGGTCCAAGGGGGCAAACTTGCAACCGGTTCCAACGCTGACAGCAAAGCCCGACCTGCTGCAAGATGCATGACTGAAGCATGAGCGGCCAGTTCTGGGGGGTGGATAAAAGGCCTGCGTTTGGAAGGAAATGCCATCTCCTGCAGAGCCAGGAGTCCTGCTCTAAGTTCCCATGAGACTAGCTGAGCAATCAGACGTGCCCACTTCCACACCAGTGCTGGTTTGAGCCTTCCCAAAATGGAAGCCCAATGAGAACGGACCCTGCTTCCCAGCAGCCTCTCAGCCTTGCAGCAATCGGCAGCTTTGGCCACCACTTTTACAAGAAAAGGCAGCTAGTGAAAAGGGGGTTAATCCAGCAAACATCTCCCTTCCCCCTGCCACAGCTGGTTCACGCTCTTTGGCAGGGATTGCGATCCAGGCCTGGCACGGCCCGGGCAGGAGCTCTGTCAGCAGCTGTCAGTGTGACGTAGCACCTTCGGGATGAGACCAGTGAGAAAGAAAGTCCCTGAGCCCTGTGAACGCAGCCACCGGCCCCTTACCATGCCACTCGCTGCAGCTTGCAGGTGCCACCACTTGGGTGCAGATGTTGCACCACCTCTGCCAGCCCAGACTTGGAGTATGGGTGGATCAGCTAGGCAGGGCTGCAGCATGCACACTGGGCTGGGCATGGAGGGATACAGGAGGCACTTGCCCAGCCCCTGGTTGAGGAAAACGCGGGAGAATCACTCCTCTCCTGGGATGCCGGCACCAGTAGCCACCCCACACTTAGAGCCTCTGCCCGCCCTCCCGCTCCTGGACGCTGAGTCACTCTGCTCCTGCTCACAGCTGCTCGGGGGCGGGGGACGGGACGGGACGGGGCCAAGGATCCTGTTGGCTAGGGTCATGGTGCCGCCAGCTGCGTGCGGGGCATTTGGCTCAGCTGTGGCTGTGGGTCTTTTCACAGGAGGAAAGAGGCAGCCGAGCGCTGCTCACAGCTCCCTGGGGCTGGGATTTAGCAGTGATGTCATGTGGCCCGTCAGGATGGGGCCTGAACAGCAGACGTGGCTGCCACCCGCAGCTGGGTGCGTGCCCCGGCTGTGCGTGGGGCCTGTGCAGGTGGGGTTGGCTGTGGCTTCACAGGAGCACTGGTTTTCTCACTAGACTGACGAGGCTGCATTTCCTGGCCAACCTGCAGCCTGTCATCTTAGCTTGTGAGCTCCTCTGGGCAAGGACTGAAGCAGGGGGCTGGACTAGACCTCCTGAGAGCCCTGCCCTAGGGTCCCAATGGTCCATTGGGAGCTATGAAGTAGAGCAGTCCAGGCCATATCTTTAAACATCCCGACACCAATGATGGATGCCAGAGGGGGTAGGACAGGGGATGGATCACTGTAGACATGCCCCATTCCTCTCCTCTCCCTCTGAAGCATCTACTGTTTGCCAGTGTTGGAGACAAGCCTATCTGTTGTCTAGGCCTAAGCCCACCAGGAACTACAAGCTCCTCTTGATTGTTACAGGGAGGCCACTACATTTATAACAACGGATTTTGTGGGACACATAATGAGAAGC